GCCGGCCCGGGCCCAGCCACGCCCCAAGCGGCGCCGGCGCAGCGGGAGCGCTGTCAGTGAATACTGGAACGGCTTGCGCTGGAAGGGACCTTAGAGCCGATCTCATCACACCCCTGCCCTGGGCAGGGACACCTTCCACAATCCCAGGTTGCTCCAAGTCCCATCCAGCACGGCCTTGGACACTTCAGGAATGGGATATCCACAACTTCTCTGGGAAATGTGTGCCAGGCCCTCACAAACAGGGAACAACTTCTTTCCAATACCCAATCTAAACCTACTGTCTTGCAATTTGAAGTTTCACAGATTCACAGGATATTCTGAGTTGGAAACGATGCACAAGCATCATCGCATCCAATTCTGGAGTAAATGGCTGATACCGGAATTGAACTAACAACCTTGATGTTACTGTCACCATGCTCTGACTGACTTTGAAGCCATTCCTGCTTGTCCTGTCCTTCCAGGCCCTTGTAATATACGCCTTGTATAGCGTGTCCTCGTGATTCCCGTCAGCTCCTTCAGCTACTGTAAGGCCACAGTGAGGTCACCCCAAAGCTTCTCTTGGCTGCACAATCCCAACTCTCACAGCCTTTCCTCCCACCAGAGCTGCTCTATCCCTCTGATCATCCTGATGCCTCCTCTGGACTCTCCTGCAGCTCCACATCCTTCCTGTGCTGGGCCCCAGGGCTGGGGCAGCTCTGCAGGTGGGGTGTGTAATAAATGGAATTGATTTGTGCTAACTAAATTATAACTGTTATTAAAGTTATTATTAGAAACTGTCAAGAATCAGTGTTACAAAGCAGATGTACCCCTTTATAGATGTTACTTGTCAAAATTAAAGTACAGAATGTGGTTTAAAAGATAAGTGGTGTCTCAAGACCAAAACGGCCTTGAGACAGACAAAATTAGAAGGACTTTAGGCATTGAGCCTAAAAATCAATAAATATAAGACCAATTAATGGACCACCAAAAGAAGACCAAAAGCCCCCTAAAAACAGGTGAAGCATGTGCCATAAAAAAAATAACGTAAAGTCAGAAAAATCAGAAATAAAAAAAAACTTACAAAAAAACATTAATAAATATGTATAAACATACAGTATATAAGTTTAGCTTAAAGTACTTTGTTTTGTATGTGAAGTGAGATGAAAATCCCCCCCCATACCCCAGTCAGTTTTGCTTATGCCTTAACCATCCTTAACCATTAGCCACCTATTTTCACATATATATAGAGAGATGTATACCTGAATATATTTACTAAATTGTACCTTTTTTACTAAATTGTATTCTTTTACTAAATTATATTCCTTTTATATTATATTGCTGTTTGCTATTTTTTTTGTATCAAATTTATCCAGTTTATTAAAATATACTATCAATTAATTTGACTTAGTTGTCTAAAATTTAAAAGTCATTTTTAACAGGTGTCACCGGAGCACAGGGGCAGGGGGGTAGAATCCTCCCTTCCCTGCTGCCCAAGCTGGGGTCTCAGCCCAGGGCACGAAGGGTTCTGGCATGGGGCAGGTCCATCTCTCATCCACCAGCACTCTCAAGTCCTTCACCCAGGATTGCTCCGTCTGCTCACCCTCAGCCAGGATTGACCCCAGGGGTTGTCCCAACCCAGGTGCAGCACCAGGACTTAGTCTTGTTAAATTTCATGAGATTCCCCTGAGCCACTTCCCAAGCTTGTCTGGGTCCCTCTGTCCTTCCCCAGGACAGCACCAGGCTGCACAGGACCCTGTGTGGGATCGAAGTGAAGTCAGACGGTGTGTCCTGCGAGGCTGCACAGGGAGCCCCTACTCCAACAGCACCTAGTGACCTTGAGAGTTAAAAAATAGCCACAGCCTGATCATTATTTTTTTTTAAGTTACACTTGGCCTGTGTAGATAATAATTATCCTATTATTAATTAGGAAATGGCACAGCTTTGTGAGGTTCCTTTTAATAGAAAACAGCAGCCCCGGGAAAAAAAACAAACCAGACACACACACATATATAAATATGTAAACACCATATATAAACACACCACCACTGTTGCCCTTACTAAGAAGAAAACAGCTGGTGGGAAAATTTATTCCTGTAACAGCGCTACCTGCAGGACCACACACCTTCTTGATAGAGGAGGAATTTAGGATATGTCACATGTTCCACCAAAGCTGCCTCAGCTTGGGAAGCTGCAATCCAGCTGTAACCGTGGTTGTGGGTTGGGGACTGCTGGAATTTTTCTGCTGGAAATTGGCTTAAGGGCAACAAAGTAATTGCAGGAGGTAAATAGACTGTCAGAGAGTCTCAGAATGATTTGGATTGAAAGGGACCTTAAACGTCATGTAGTTCCAACTGCCTGCTGTGGGCCGAGAGTACTGAGGTTCAGGGTTTACTACTCTGGCTTTTAAGGTAGAGAATTAAAACAAAAATATGTTCATAATCCATTATTTGAGACCCCCAGTTATTCCATTGGTTAAATTTGGCAGGAGGGGACTTTATTTGGGTTTTTTTGCCATCTGTGATCTCAGTTTCACACCAAAAAGCAGATGGGTCTGTGCCATCCTCAGCACAGATGTGTGCCTCATTCTTCAGAATGAGGACTTCTACTGAATTAGTCCTTTGGCATTTTTAAATGCCTTATATTTCTGAGTCTGGGATACAGCTGTTACCTCTCAAAGGGCAGAAATGTACCTGGGAATAGCCCTCCCTGGCTTGAAGACATCAGAGGAAGGAGACTGCCTTCCATGGCTTGAAAAGGCTCTTGAGAGGCTGGTCTGAGAGAGGAAAAAGCCTTTAAATTCTGCCGTCCAACTGAGTTCCCTTGCATTCTCTGGGGAAAGGCCGTTCTAAAATATGTTTTAATCCCTGTTAGGTTAATTTGATGTCAGTTTTGTGTACCTGCTGGCGAGCTGGGTGATGAGGGGTTGCCCCTATGATGCCACACAAAAAAAGTGGCAGAGCATGTATGGCCCTGCCCCTTCGGGCAGCTTATGCAGGATCACCCAGGGCCAGAGGGTGCAGAGGTTCCTCAGGGTCCCAGGCGGACTGTCCCTGCAGAGATAGGGCTAAGAGAAGTAGAGGTGAGATACTTCAGCCGGAAATTGAACATTTTCCTCATGCAGCAGAGTTAACGTTCGTTGCAGGATGAGAAATTGGAGTAGAAGGTGATGCAGCTGATGCTTGCACAGGTGGCTGTGGCTTCACCCAGGTAAGCACCCGCCTTGAACAGCACAGCCTCGGGATGCTTGCCTTGGGTACTGCAGTTTGTGATGTGGCCTTTTTGAAGGACTCTGCTCAAGAAGCTCTTCAGCTCATACAAGAGGTTTTGGAGAGTCTCTTTGGGGGTCTGTGTGGGAAGCCAAAGACCCTGTGGAATTACTTATATGGGACTCTGGCTTCTTCCCCCATCCATATGTGGTAGGCACACACATGGGTCTGCCTCAGCCCTCTGCAGGTCATTACCACAGTGCCCTGGTGTGTCAGTAATTCTTGGAAAACTTTTCTTTCCTGTACTCGTATTAAAAAAATTCCCAGTTTAGGTGCTATAGAGCTGACAGTCCTAAATGAAAAAGAGAAGTAATATTTTAATTCAAACCTTCATTTTGTTTTGCACTACATAAATAATAGTGAACAGTCTCTTCAAAAAGCTACTGAAACTTGCAGCAGCATATGGAAAATTGATTGAAGACAAAGAGAACAAAACTCTTGGAGCCTCGGGGCATTATTCACAAATTAGCCTTTTTGCCAAAAAAAATGAGTAAAAATTTCTCTTTTACCCTAGAGAGGAGAAACTGCACAATAGAAACAGCCACACTTTCCAGGATTGTTACAGGCGATCGATGATTCAATCTGTCAAAAAAACATGCAAACACCATAAAAAAAAGAACTTAAAAAGGTGTAATTACCATGTCAGCAGATCCAGCTCAGGGTAATAGCAAATATTTATCTGATTTCCTTAAGCAGCTTTTTAAGTTACCACTTTAGGGCTCTCGTTGCCGCTGGCGCTGAATAGATGACACGGACAAAGCTCGAGGTTTGGTGAAAGGAAAGAGAAAGTTCATTTTTCCTCCCAGGATTTATAGGTTTCTGACCATGGCCAGGGATTGGGTGGTCAGGATAACACTTTCCCACTCCACTGGCCATGAGAGATGTCCATCACAAGACGTGTAACAGAAGGAATATATACCTATCTCTATGTTTACAGTTACTGTCCTGGGAAAGTCTTAGAAAACTATGTCAGCAAGCTCAGAAGCTGAGTTTTCAGGGCAACAGGCTCTTGCAATTTTTCTTTGCAAATTCTGTAGTGCAGAAGAAGGTTCCTCCCTGGTTTCAGTGCAGAAGAATCTTTCCCAGTGCAGGGGTTTGGCCTCAGATGAGATGGTGGCAGCAGGCAGGTTCTTTTAGGTGTTTCCAGGTGCCAGTTGCTGGGAAACAGGAACACAAACAGAATTTGCCTTTGCAGGGCTGGGCAACTGTGGGAGCTGAGCTGCTGTTCTGTGCCTGTCAGTATTTTGTTTAATTTCTCAAGTGATACCATTGCCCTTTTTTATTAGTGAAATTTTGCTATAATATTGTTATAGCTGAAATCTGGTTGTTCTAAGGAGTTTCTTTACAAATTATTTGTGTGTTTATCTGCCTGGTGTGCCAGCTGGACAGAAAACTCCTGTTATATTTCTGCATCAAGGTTTTCTCTTTCTTACGAAGTTTGTGTCCCCCTCCCTGAGGCTGTAATTCCAGGAAAAAGTGGGCCATTCTGCAAGTAAGCTAAATCATGCTTTGTACCATGGTGCCAGAGGAGGGCAAGCATAAATTTTGTGTGGATGAACAGCTTTTCGCTCAAGCATGAAATTATTTGTCTTTGCTGCTCTCATTGCCCCTCATCATTCCTGGTTTGTGTTTAATTCTGTTGCTGCTCCACTGTAAAACATTGTCATCTGCATATTTTATCACCGCTCACTTCTGCATTCCACCATGTTTTGTGCTCTGTCAGTATATTTTTTTTTTCCTTAAATTCATCATTTGGTTAACTTCCTTTGCTTTCCACTCCTGACTCTATACTAACTTCTGTATATTGTCTTCATATATGTTCACATATATATTTGCTCTATTTCCTTCCTGATCCGGGCCATTGTGCTATTCTCATTCAGATTACTCCTGAAGACTGGCTTCCTGACATCAGGAATGTTCCATTTGGCATTTCTGGTGTTTCTGTTCATTTTGGATGGTCAGTTGTACTCTATTCTGTGCAGTGCAATGTCACCCTGGCATAGAGTGCTGTGCCTTGGGAAATAGAAAATGCTTCTTCTCCCTGGCATAAAGGAGGGCAGGTCTGGAGAAACGAGTGTTTTTCGTTGGAGAGGGATGTCAGGAGAGGGTGTCACCCCCTCACCAGTTCTCGTGTAGGCTCTTAGTGCTGAAGACAATTGAAAAAGCTGCAAATCTGGGATAATGTTCCGATTCCTCCCGTCCCTGCTGGCGTCCCTGCAGAGTTAGGATGGCCACATGATGGCAATGTCGCACCTCAGGGATGTGCGTCGTTTTCTGCTGGAGCAATTGCTTCTCGAACTCCGTTTAAGTGCCTCTAGAGGCTTTCCACAAGAGGCACTGAAAATTTTACATCTCCCTCTGAAACTTGCCTCTCTTTCTTTGGTTGGTGCTTTGCCCTGATCAAAACCCTTCAGATTTTCAACCTCCTTAATCAACAGTGTCACATCCTTACAAGGATGGAAGTCAAATCCCAAACTACCCCATTGGATGGATTAATTGGAAGAGTTTTCCCACAACCGAAGTGCATTTCTGGATGTGCAGCATCAGCCTTTGGCTCCTTTGCCAGTGCTGTCCCTCTACATGAGCCACCATTCTGATACAAGAGATAGTGTCTCATGGATCCCTAGGAAGTCAAAACAAGGGTTAACAGATCCATGTTTATCTCTATCATCTCTGTCTCTATCAATCTATCTATCTATCTATCTATCTATCTATCTATCTATGTCTCTATCTCTATCTCTCAATCTCTATCTTATCATATCTAATTATGACTTTAAGAAATTAATTCACTTTTTGCTAAAATGCCTCTCTGGGGCAGAGGGCAGGAGATACTGATTAGTGCCCCACAACAGGGTACAAATGTTCACAGGAGGAAGTGGAGAGGAATGCTTTATCCAGTGAAAACCACAAGGAAACAGGAGGTGAGCCAGGGTCCAAGCCATATATTCTGCTCCTAGGGAAAAATATCCTAATGATCAGGGCTGGGATTTTCTTTTTCTTTATCCAAATATTAGATAAACTCTTGTATCTCTCCAGGCTAAAAAGCATGCAGAAATTGTGATCTATCCCAACATGGTCAGCTTGGACATGATTTTACTGATTTAAATGTGTGATTTTGGGACTTCTGAAGATTTGCTTTTGGAAGCAAAACTGTGTGCATTAATTAGACAGAAGCTCATGCATCATTATATGGAATCAGGATGTTTTATTCCCCAAACTAAACCATAACCAGCATACTTCCATAGGCTGATATAATTGTTGCTGTTGTATGGGGGAGGCACTCTGGAGCCTTCCCCAAAATGCTGCACTCTGGACAAGGATGGTTCTTCTCTTCTGTGCCTCTGAAATGTAAGTGTTGAAATTCTGTTGCATTTCTTAGTACAGTCTGGTGCAAAATAGTCTTTGCTGGAAGCATTTTACACGTTTTCATTCAGTAGGGAGTTAATCTGAGTTCAAAGTCCAGGGTATTCACATGGTCCCATGACCTGGAGACTTGACATTCCTGTGCAGCCCTAAGGTTTTAAAAATAAGAAACAAAGGCTATGAGGGAAGAAGCAAGATCTGTCCACACCTGCTCATGACCATATCTAGACAATTTGAACCTGTGCTGTGGTGGTGTAACCTGCCTCCACACTGCCTGGTCTCTAGCTCATTGAACACAAGATGATAAGGGACATCTCGTGCTACAGGAGTGCTGCTCCTGGCTCCAGAGCAGGAGGGCCCTGGTGCTCTGCACTCTGCCAAGGGGCCATAAAGATTAGCCAGGTTTTAGGTCCTGAGCTGGGAATGTCTCCTGCTTGAACTCCTGTGAAAGTCAGACATTCACAAAATTGTTCCACCAAATCTGCCTCATGTGGCTTGTTTAGCCTCAAAGTGATTTGAATTATCACCTCACTTCCAGAGATTTTTCCAGGGCTTCATTATCTTGATTGTTTCCCTTTCTCTATGCCTAAAAATAAGTATTTTTCCCTTTTCTGTCTATTAAGAATAGACTTGAAACCCACAGACCAGAAAGCAGTTTGTAAGGGGAATGACAAATAAGGACATTTACATGCTATAGACAGGGTAACCAGGTTAAATTAAATTAGGACAGCAAAAATCATAGGGAAAAATTACAGAAATAACCCAGGATTTTGATTATTTAAAAGCAAAACAAACCTGTTCTATTGAGTATGGTCACACCAGAGATTATAGGTGGAGAAATTCTTACATACTAATTACAAAGTGTTATCAGGATGCTTTGTTTGTCAAACAGTTGGACAGATTTCCTCTTTCCCTAAGAAAGAGCCAGAGAACTTGCCAAGAGTCTGTGTTTACAGATCAAAAATACAGAGGAAGAAAATGAAAGTTCAGAGATGGAAGGAGAAGTGACCTTTCCTATATTGCATATCTGTATTGCATAATATAATATATATAACATATGTATTTCACACACACACACACCCACACACACACACACACACCCCCCATATATATATAAAATATTCTGCATCATCTTTTTTCCTGTGAGCCTTGTACATGTAGAATATAGCACTAAATGTTCAATCCAAATCTGATCTCATTTTCACCTGTCTCCTTTTGGGCCCTTCTCTAGGAATGCGGCTAGAGGTTTCCATGCTGGCAGAAAACCCACTGGAGTTGTGACTCTGTTCACAGAGTAAACCAGGAAAATCCTGATTACCAGTTCAATAATTATACCTACCATCTCCTCCTTCCAGAGCAGCTCCCTGGTGATTCCTATCAAACTGGAAAATGCTGGCTGTATGTCAAGGAAAAAGAGAAGGCAGAGTCTGATGTTGTTTGGAAACACCCAGAGCTGCTGGGGATGCTGTGAGCCTGGGCATCTAAACAACTCACATTTTTCTATCTGGATACCCCATTTTCTTTCACTATGCAGGGATGAGTGTTGGCTAAATAAAATTATCTAAGACCTGATATTTTCTAATAAAATAATTTTTTTTACAGTGTAGGAAAATCTGCTTTCAATTGCAATTGTTGGACATTACTTTAGTTGATGAAAACAGCGTGCTTGGGAAGCTGCTGGAAGCAATATGATTTTAGGGTATTGCTATTTCCCTTTTTAAGAGGAAGGAAAGCAAACTTTTTTCTTTTATGTCATGGTTGAATACAGTGATGTATCCGTACAGAGGAGGGGAAATCACTCTAACTCCTGTAATATGTGTAGGTCAGCTCTGTGTTTTGTCTATCTCATTTTCAGGCATTTGGAGACTCCCAGACCCACCTGAGTTATATAGCACCTGTGGTGGGCAAGTCCTGTCCAGGAGCTGAGGATCTGGCAGCCCCTATTCCATGGCTGCTGCAGGTGTGATCCTTTTTTACATCAATATGGAATTTGGATTTAAGCTCCTTCTGGCAGCTTTGCCTCTGAAAGGAGTCAGACTACACAAGTGAATGCAAGATTTACTTTTTTTTTCTATATGTATGTTTTACTTGCTGTTTGTTTGATTTAATGAATGTTTTTCTTCAGACAGTTTATTATATTTGGATGTTTTGGGGTCATTTTAACTTGCTGCTTATGTACCAAAAACCAGGCCAATGCTTTTCAGGTATTTCTCTGCTGCACACGTTCCCCTTTACAAGTGAGTCTAAGTGATTATATCCCATTCCTACATCCCTTCCATCCCTGGAATTGTCCAAAGCCAGGTTGGATGGGGCTTGGAGAAACCTGGAATAGGAGAAGACGGGTAGAATGAGATGATCTTTAATGTCCCTTGTGGACATGATTTTCTGAACCTGAAAGAGTTTCAGGCTCTCAGGCTGATTTGTGTTCCCAAGGTAAAGTCTTTTGGGAAACTTTTTCTCTCTCAAGGACTGTTGTGTAAATA